CATATGAATTGATCGACAAAGGAGTTCCAATTTTTCTAGATTCGATTTCCAAATTTGGTAATAATCCTGACTGTATTGGTTGTATTCAAATTAGTATCAATATTAAACAAAAAAAAAATTATTTTTTACCAATTATTCAATAAGAATTGAATTATATAAAATTAGATAATTGAGTACTGTTTTCAAATCAAAATTTGTTAAGGGATAGATTTTTATTGATTAAAAGTTATTCTGAGAATACATGGAATCAAGTCCTTTATATAATTGTCAAGACAGCTTTTCTATTTCCATGTGAATTCCCTCATTCATTGCAAAAACTTTACAATTCACTTCCTTTATGGGACACCTTTGATCCCTGAAATTCTGGTAATACCAATGTTCACTTTGTCTGGTTTTGTTGCAGCATGCCCCATTTAATCCATAATGGGCTTGTTATCTTACAGATTTGTGGATTATGTGGGCCAGTTGATGATAAATCATCAAATAAAATTTATGGGATTGTACCATATATTACACTCAAGAAAAAAGAAAACAAGAGAATCAGATATTTATAGTGTTGGCATGTTAATGTAGATGTTTGCAGGCCATCCATCATTTGATGACAGAGCTCATAATTTTCATTTACAATTAAACATATGTGAGAGTTTAAGACCACCAATATTGTTAAGAATGCTGATGATATGTAGAAGTGCTGGAATAGTAATTTATCCAAAAGACCAATTAATTATTGAGGAACTTCACAAATTTGCTGATAATAAATTAGAAGAACTTCATAAAAATGGAAATTAAAAATAATATTAATGAAAAAATAATGGTAAATTAATTAATAGTAATAATAATAACAGTAATAATAATAGTGTCATGGACAGTAACAGTAGCAGTAATTCACAACAAACACACAAATCATATTATACAAGAATATTAGATGTTACTATATAGTTATAATCTTTTAAAAGCCAACATTTAGTGAAGTTTGACTTGAGTAAATTTGTATTTAGTCAGGTTGATTTTAGAAACTTGTTTATTTTTGTATCATAATGCTATTAATGATAATAATAATATGTCGTTTGTATTTTATAATAGATAAGTTTCTAATCTGCTTTTTTATTTTGATCAAAACCAAAATTACTTCCTGCTAATTCACCAAATGATATAATCGCCCTGTTTGACTTACTATTTTGACTTGGAGTACTTGAAGATGATGTTTGATCTTGATCTCTACTAGATGGTGATGATGATGATCCAACAGCTGGTTCATCAGAATGAGGATGGTAAATTTTATTGGGGTTATTTGGATCCTGATCTTCAATAATTTGGTTTAATCTTAGTTCTGAGTCAATATTTTTTTGATGTTGAATATCATGATCAAAACCAAAATTACTTCCTGCTAATTCACCAAATGATATAATCGCCCTGTTTGACTTACTATTTTGACTTGGAGTACTTGAAGATGATGTTTGATCTTGATCTCTACTAGATGGTGATGATGATGATCCAACAGCTGGTTCATCAGAATGAGGATGGTAAATTTTATTGGGGTTATTTGGATCCTGATCTTCAATAATTTGGTTTAATCTTAGTTCTGAGTCAATATTTTTTTGATGTTGAATATCATGAGAAGCTGTAGATGCAGAAAGATTAATGTTATTATTAGCATCCAAGTCAGAAAATTTATCTTTCTTCTTATCACTATCCATGCCCAATCTAGATCCAATAGTTCCATTTTGATTTGATTTGTCTTTTAATGATCTTTTAACTGGCAGCCATAAAATCGGCAAAGATCCTACCAATGAAGGATTTCTGTAATCTCTCATACCAGTATTGAGAATACCTTCAGTCAAAGACATTGGTGGTTGACTGTAATCTGTGTAGTAATCAGGTGCTGCATGATATAAATCATCTTCAAGAACATCACTATGTACATTTCTTTTATCTTTGCCAGTAGATGATTGATCATTGGATAAATTTTCATCATTATCAATTCTTGCAATAGATTGTGATTTCTTTTCAGTTTCTACTAAATGTTGTAATGAAATAACTGTAGAGATACGATAATATGCTTGATTAACATAATAAAAAAATAGTGAAGTGATGAAAGGAAGAGGAATAGTGGCTAATGTTAAATAATAAGATTTCTTGAGTGAAAAATATCCAATCATCATAAGTTGATAAATATAAAGACCAACGATGATCCGACGAAATATTTTTGGCCATGCAAGACCAGCAGTTTCATAAGGATGAAAATAAACTTTTTTTTTAAATAAAGATATAAAAATAATTTATAATGATATTAATTATAAATTGTATTTTAAAAAAAAATAAAAAAATAGAAAGGAAAGAAAAACTTACCATAAAGTAATAAATATTTGTATGTTATATAACCAAAGAAAAAATATATGGTACCAAAAAGAAGAATTATTGGAGCAATTGATGAATAAACCAATATAATCACAAAAATCAATATAATTTGTGGTAATTCTTCTCCATAATTCAAAAATGGAGGTGCACTGGCTTCAGCATAATCTCTTGGTGTTCTTGAATATATGACCCGCATTATCCATGCAACACTAAGGTTCAATAAATGAAAAAGCAATATACCAATACCTTGAAGAGCAGTAAAATTAACAAAAAACGAAGAAACCTAATTAATTAACAGATTATGTATATAATAAAAGTTGATAAAAAAAATTAAGATTGGAAATTTTAAAGGAAATTAAAATAATAGTATAAAGTAAAATAATTTACTCTTGGTAGGGTAGTCGCTAATTTATTTGCGATTCCTGTAGGATCATGTATTATCTCCAACACTGAATTCAAAAATGAATCAGCTAACAAGAAAATAAGCAAAATATTAATTATCAAAAATAAGTAATATCTATAAATAATATTTATAGATTAGTTTAGAAGAATGTATTAAATAACAATGATGATTAATGATGCAATAATCTACCTACTTGGAAAATGTTGATAGTTCTATAACACTTCTAGCTCTCCACCCTTGCTGAATACTGAGAACTAATAATCATCAATAGATTTTCTTTTAATTAAAACAGTTTAGATTTTCTTATAATCACAGGAGTTACAACACAGTGATTTTTGAAAAAATTGCGATTGTGATTGAGAAGTGTGATATAAACGAATTTTTATATGATGTGATTATTATGGGAATCTAAAAGAAGAAAGAAAAATCGAACCCACCACTCATTATTCTTGGAACTATAGCAAAAAAAGTGGTAACACCGAGGGTAGGAAGGATGGATTGAATGGATGCTTTTATATATTTATTTTTTTCAGCAAGTCTAACCAACCAAGGGAGTATTTTTTCCAAAGTTTCCAATTTCAAAAAAGTAGCAAAAAAAGCAATAGGTGTGATCCAGAAAAATGTCAAAACGAAAATAAAACTATTAACTAAAAGTGTGCGTGAAATTATCTCCCTTGTTTTAATGCCAAGATGTTGCCAATATCTATCAT